CTTACATCAATCAAATCATTTGCCCATTTGCGCACAGTGGCACCCGTAGAGTTCGAAGTAGCGATTGGAAATAAATCGGGACCTGCTGATGCACATGCATCACAAAATTTCTGAAGAGCCATATCTGCATCTTGAACACTCTCTGTAGAATGAATCGAGGGAGTAATAAATACATCGGGCAATCCAATAATGTCACATACCGCCATAAGACTGTTCGCAGATATAAACAGCTTAGTGAGTTCCTCTTTCGATTATCAACTCAGAAATCTTCACCTGATAAGGAGGCTTCTGGGAATATGTCATAGAGTTTACGACTCCATCTAATACAACGCGACCGATACGGTTTTGATAGACTAAGTGTAAGTTGATAAGAGGAAGAACAATCGCGGGTGATTCGGAGCTTACGATCCAGTAAATAAGACCCGATAACTGTGCCATAACTGATAAATGATTGCGAGATCATCCGCAAACGATAGAAGATTCTATAGGCGTTGAACTTACGAGAAGCCCCAATAGTTGATAGGACCATTGGGCCCTTGGATAGCGTCAGCCAGAGCCACTAAATCTTTGACAGTGGAGACAGTTCCGACATATTTGAGGTTATCCTGATTCTTGTTCATGCATTCTCTCATGATACTTTTCACATAAGTCCCTAGGGTGGTAGAGTTCCCGAGGAAGGCATCAATGTCTGATTGATCGGGTCCATTTGAACGAGCGTTCAGAGAATTCTGCAATAAATTAATGTGGAAATCTTGCATCACTTCATTAGCGGTCTGGTTTCCTTTGGCATGAAAACAATTGATTGCGGGCCGTGTATAGCCTACGCCTCGGGGATCCCAACCTAATAAATCCGATTTCAACAATGAGAGATATAACGCCAAGATGAAAACACTTACTAACGATATCAAAGTTTCCTCCGGTAATATCAGAAAGTTGCTCTGAGGAGGCATTGGATAAGAAATCCAATCCAGAGCCACCGGGTCCACCCTACACAAAGAAATTACATCCTCCATATCATTTGTTCAGCAGCAAACCTACACCTACCGGATTCGCGAATATTGTCCCAAGAGGATTTCTACTCTTGGCCTTCAGTTTGACAACGTACATTACTGCTTTTTTGCCATTCGAGGGATTCGTCCAGTCAAGGGGTACAGTGAATTCCGCACAAACCAGTGAGGAAGGTTCACCCCATTCGAGGACTTTCACGCATGGTCCCCATTGAAGACTGTCAGAGTGTCTGACATCGATACTTCTTCCAATGGATGGTTGAATGGAGAAGGCGGTCAAGCCAAATATCAACACCCAAGGTCGAGAAATCTTGAAGGAGAACATGTGAGCGTTGAGGTGACGAGTGAACTGGATGTAAGTTGACCGTCTAGATATACGGTTGAGACCTGGGACCCAACGTATGTCCCTATTGGAGCGAGTAGGGAATAAATGGCAAGTACTGCGATCAGCGAAAGGCAGTGCTCGCTAAATCGAAGAATGAGGGTGTGGAGGATCCATTAGTAACCATACCTGTGATCCGTTCATAGTGGGATTTGGGCTGAGATATCATCAGTGATCACTACAACGACTTTTTCTAACACAGAGAAAGTTGGAAGTCCCCTATTAGTGGATTGGCTCCGAAATAAGGGCAAGTGGAGCACCAAGTCGAAGCCCGTCACCTAGGTGAGATGTAGTTGTATTCCTTCATTCAAGACGATTGTTCCAGTGGATGGGCTCACCGAGCCTGTTTGTGCTATAGGAAAGAACTGAGAAAAGAAAACTGACCAATATGAAGACAATTTTCAATCTTTTGCTGGCAATTGTCGTACCAAGAGTGTCAGTAAGTTGATTCCGTGTTTGAAAAGGCACACTAGATCATGAACATAAATCCTTGATGTCCCGAAGGCGAGCTATTTTTGTCGTTAACCGGAAGTAATTCCATTGATTGGTTTTGCTCTCTCCTACGAGCTTTGCAATGACCAATGAAGACTTTGAAAACGATTTGAGCCGGTTGGTCATCGAAGAGTATTGGCTCAAACGTTTGGACACCATTACAAGAAGACGGAATCTACGGAGAGGGGGTGGCCGCGCTCGGTGATCGACCAAGATATGTTGTCAGAAGGTTGAGATGATCGGTTAGCATCGAGTCCTTGACCAACATCAGTGTTTTGGAGGAGTGAATCCGATAGGTTATAGATACCTGATTTGGTGTGGGCGCTAGGAGATGGTCGCTTTTTTGGAAATATGGGATAACTGCGCTCAACATTGGAAGGGCTGTGTTCGGGAAATTGATGTAGTGGGGATGAGAAACGTTTTGCGTGTGGTTATGGGAATTTCATCAGGTTTGTCAGGTAACTTATGCATTGAGTTAGAGACAAAGTGGAGGTGATTAGGAATGTCATTTGTTTTGGAGATTTTCATTGCGCACTGGAGACGAAAATAGAATGTTGCACGGATATCTGATCTCCGTGTGTCAACTCAACTAATTTGGTTGATCGATGTTAGTTTGCTTGTGCTTAGTGTTTA